ACTCTACCCAGGGGGACAGCTTGAGGCTCTGTCTCAAAAAAAAAAAAAAAGAGAGAGAGAGAGACAAGAGCAGGTTGGGCCACCTGCATTGAGGACTTGGCTGTGAACAGCACAGGTCCCATCCCTGCCCCTGTGAGCTCATAGCCTGCACCACTGAAGGACAACTGAGAATTTCAGGAAAGTTAAAGCTGCATGAAAAAAAAGTGATGGGTCAGGGTGGGATGTGAGCTGAGGGTGGCTTAAAGAATGGTGCCATCTTAGTGGAACACTTCAGAAGGGCCCGAGGGTCAACTGTGGTGACACTGGGATGGTGTAAAGGAGCCCATTATTTAAGGATCTGACCCCAAAGTATCTCAGTGTGGCTAAGAGCATGGCTAGAGCAGAGGATGAGGTCAGCAGGGCCCGGGAGCACAAGAAGGCACTAGTGTCTTCCTTCTGAGTGGAGTAAGATGTCACCTGAGGGTTAATTTTACTGTTTGGATGTCGAAATGCATTTACCTGCTTCAAATTTTAAATGTCTAGGAGAATGAACAGTGAAAAGCCGCTTTTGGGCGGTGCCTGTGGCTCAATGAGTAGGACGCCAGCGCCATATACCAGAGGTGGAGGGTTCAAACTCGGCCCCAGCCAAAAACTGCAAAAAGTCGCTCTCCTGGTTGGCCCAGCCACTGGGTGTCCTCCCCAGACACAACTCTGTCTCTTCCATCTTCCAAGGGTCTTCACAGCTGGGCAGGAAGGAGGGGCAAAGAGTCAGGTCACATCTGTGGACTCAAGGACCACGGGCAGGCCGTGCAGCCCTTTGACATCTGGGGCCCAGGCTTTGAACAGTGGGGTTGACCAGAGTGTGGCAGCCCAGAGGGGAGAGGCTGAGCGCCGTGGAGAGTAGAAGGGCACAGCTGTTCACCACCTGGAGCCTTCCATGGGCAGGTGAAGGTGCTGGGAGTCCTTCAGATTCATGACACATCCAAGGGTGTGGGTTTTTAATTAATTAATTTATTTATATAGTACAATCTCTGTGGTAGCAGAAATATATGAACAGAAAACAATTCAAATAAGAGTTAAAAAAAAAAGTCTGCTATGAATTTATCCCATAGGACATGTCATATATACAATTTCACAGCTGTACTCTCTCCACGCCCCGCACGCTGGCTGGTGTTTCCCACACAAGTGACGTCAAGGACACCAGGAAAAGTGAGGCAGGAAAGCTAGTGGCAAGGACCTAGCTGCAGCAGGAGGCACAGGGGCCCTGGGGCAGAACCCACCGGAGGAAACCAGCCCCCGTCACAGGGTCCTAAGCTGTAGGCCTAGCCGAGGGGAGGAAAGAAAGGCCCTGAAAGCTGAGCCAGGCAGCCTGCTCTGATGAGGGAAGACAGGAGGCCCCGCCACTGCCCCACAGACATGGTTATGAGAGGCCCGGCAGAGGTTCCATCCAGTCAAAGAAACTCCTCAGTTTAACAAAATATGTACAAGAGGCACAGAGCGGCCACAGCCCCCATGCACGGGGGGCGGCTCCTGTGCCATCTGCTTCTCCAGCTTCTGCCATTTGGACCATAAGGGTGAAAGAGCAGCTTCTGGCCACGGGAAAGGCCGCCCTGCAGCTGTGACTAGTCACTTCACAGTATGTCTCCAACACATCGTCATCTATGAGAAGCCTGGTCACAATGTTCACCAGCACATGAATGAAAAATCTGTAAAATCAACATTAACCAGAGTACCTGCAGTACCACTGTTCACTTTTTGCCAAATCTGATGAAAGCCTTAACCCCAAATATAAAATGCCTTCTCTAGAGGAAAGAACTCAGAGACACTGCACTACTGCACTACTAGACTGTTATTTCTGTTTCCCAATCTCACTCAGTCCCGTGAAATGGCAGACAAGATGTGAAAGAAATGTTAGCCCGCTTTAATACAGTCTTTAGTATCATACACATCTGTGTTCAGTAGTGAGACATCCAGAGCCTTCCCGCCGCAGGTGCGCAGCCAAAGCACAGAGGGGACGCGCTTGGCCACCTCCTGTGCCGTCCAGTGCCAAGGTGGATGGAGGCCTCCCCAGGGTCACACCCCAAGCTTCTTCTTCTGATCAAAATAGGCATCAAATCTCGCCTGGGCATAGTCCTAGGAGACAGCAAACAAGACAAGACCTCACCAAAGGCTTCCGCTTGAACCCTGCCCCATGTTTCCCTCAGGCAAGGGCTGAGGGAACAGACCCAAGAGGACCAAGAGCCAGGACAGGAGCCTGCAAAAGAGCTACTCTGAAGACAGTCTTTTCCAGCTCTCAGCAGATGCCCCTCCACACCTTTCTTTTCTTTTTTTTCTTTTTGAGACAGGAGCCTCAAGCTATCCCCCTGGGTAGAGTGCCATGGCATCTCAGTTCACAGCAACCTCTAACTCCTGGGCTTAAGC